TGTCGAGCGTCGGAGCCATGCATGCGGGCATGTGCGCTGATTGCGACAAGATGGGAGGCAGTCAAATGAACAGTCCCCGGCTCCGAGCGTTCCCGACAATATTGACAGGCTCGATGGGTTTAATGCGACCCCACGAGGGCCATTCAACGTCGTGAACTCGTCAATTAGCTCGTAGCCCTTCCAACCGATCGCATTATCCTTGAATCTTCGCCTTAGATGGAGTAATTTTCATACAAACAGGATTAATCAAGTGATCTGTGTTTAATTTTAACCCTCTGAACTCTGTAGGCTCCAATATTGCATCAGTTAAAATATTAAATATTTTAATGAATCAAAGAAACTACCCTAAGATTATTAGATTTTCCACGCATCCAAATTTTGTACTGAGAAGGAAAATAAAAGATCGAAGGAATGCTGCAGCATTTTCCATTTTCACTGGAAATACTATAAAAATTAGTTGCAGTCGTTGATAGATTATATACCGTTATATTTTCGCTGCAAGATTAATACCTAGAGTTGTTGGTTAATGATACCGCGAAGCTAAATTCGCGAAGTAACGCAATTCGGAAGAGATAAGTGGTAAACAATGCTGTTGTTTCACCGACGGAGCAACAGAATCACAGCGGAACCTGGTGACCGCTTATGTAACCAGCCGAAAAATTCATCCCGTCGAAAGGAACCGCCGCTAGTAATCTCCGAGCTGCGCCGTGTCATTAGGAGATTACAAATCCTCGATGGGTCATCGAATGATCCTCCGACGGTTATTTCACTTTGACCGTCCCGGTCACTTTGGGGTTTCGTTGGAAATAATCCTTTTCCGGATCTCCTTTAATCTCCAGTTATATCCTCGAACACTGATTAACTTTTTCTTCGAACGTTGTTACATGTTTTATTACTTCTGGAAGAAACATTATTGTTACCTAACAGAAAATAAAATACATTTGGGATAAAAGGTACACACATTAGAACAGTTCAATCCATTTCTGTATAAGATTCTGTATTCTGTATAACATATTTGACAATTTTTCTATCATGTAAAATTACATTTTATTAAATTAACATTTTCATAATTTTTATAATTTTAATTTTTATAATTTCATAACCTGTAACTCTTAAATGCATTTTATCAACCAAACTGAAGCAGTTCATCGCGACGAGGTAATAAAGCAGAAAAATTCCCTATCATTCTAAAGTGGTCGTTCATTTTTCTATCATATAAAATATTTTATTAAATATAACATTTTTACAACTTCACAACCTGTCGCTCTCGAATGCATTTTATCAGCCAAACTGAAGCAGTTCATCACAAGGTAATAAAACACTATTCCGAAGGAGCTGTAACGCCGCAGCCCTTACGCACGAGCTGCCTCTGTTTCTGGCGCGTTCCTAAAGGCAGATGCATTTCTGTCAAAACATTCGTAGACGCACGTCGCGTCGGAAACTCGAGGATCGTGCCTCGAGGCCGATTCCTCGCCCCCGTGATCGTATTTAGGGAAGAGCCGTGCTCTCCGCCCTTTTCCCTTTGTCGACGGAATTAGATCATAGAATCATTGCCCGTCGATTCACCGGCGAATACCGGAGGATCCCCGTTTGGGAATCGGTTTCGAGGTCATTGAAAGATGAACTTTGGAAGAAATTTTGTAACAAAGTTGTATAAATATTGGAAATTATGTTAGGGTAAAGGCTAAACCTATCAAACTAGTAAAATTGATTAAATAAAGCGAAACGATATATCAGAGTTATCGGAAGTTTCAGCTTGACATCGTAATCACGTGTGAAACGATTAAGAATTAGAGTTCGTTCTCTTGTTTTTTAATTTTTATATCTTTTCCCCTCGACTTTCACGAAATCGCTGTTGTAATAGACGTAAGTTCGTAAGATTTCCTGGTTGGTATCAGTATTTTATTCCCGTTATTGAGCGAGGACACCGTTTATCAACCGTATCGCGTGAAGTTTCCTGTGTAACGTTGATAAACGGTATCGCACCTCATTACGGATCACTGATATCAGAGTAACACTCGCTGGATCGTTAAATTATCGAAAGGAAGCTACGGAAAACACATGTTTTCGATAAAATGTTCTGCTTTCGTCGCTAATAGCGATCGAGTAAACAAACATGATATGTGGAATTGGTCTAAACAAAGTAAATGGCTTGAAGTCAACTTCAACTGCTTTTCTTTTCTCACAGATATATCGGCAGTCAGTCTTTGTTGTTCGAACTTTACTACTTAAAACCCAGAGTAAATTGTTAAGTAAACTATAAAACTATAAGACTATAAGAACATAAAAATAAAGAAATTTTAAATATAGAAATACAAAAATATAAAAATACAAAAATACAAAAATACAAAAATATAAAAATATAAAAAT